CACTGCACTCCAGTCTGGGCGACAGAGTGAGACTCTAACTCAAAAAAAAAAAAGAAAAATCTTTACAACAGAACAAAATGTTACTCAATTACATATAAATAAAGAGAACACTAGTTAAGTGTCATAAACCCTAACCTCACCTCAGATTTTGACAAATTTTCATTAAATGTCTCTAGATAAGTAGAGATTTACAAGAAACTGTATTAGCTAGTGATTTAAATCTAAAACTAAATAGGACCTTAAAATGTTAAGAGAATCTGGATTCAATTGTATGTAAAAATTTACATAAATCAAATCTGGATTAAATACAAAAGTAAATGAAAAGTATATTTGAAATTGTTTATCTGTCTAAAAAAAAAATCAACTAAAATCTAAAACAAGTTCGGTGGCTCAGCCTCTAATCCCGTGCCTTGGGAGGCTGAGGTGAGCGGATTGCCTGCGCCCGCGGGTTCGAGACCCGCCTGGGCAACTTGGCGAGACCTCATCTCTACAATAAATCAAAAAATCAGCCGGGTGTGGTAGCGCGTGCCTGTAATTCCGGATACTTAGAAGGCTGAGGCGGAAGGATTGCCAGAGCCCAGCAGGTCAAGGCTGCGGTGGCTGGGAGCGGCCACTGCACTCCAGTCTGGGTAACAGAGTGAGACTCCAACTCAAAAAAAAAAAAAAAAATCTGAAACAAAGATTGGCTGGGCTTGGTGGCTCAGTCTGTAATCCCAGTACTTTGGGAGGCTGAGGTGAATGGATTGCCCGAGCCCGGAGGTTTGAAACCAGCTCAGGCAATTTGGTGAGAACTCGTCTCTATAAAAAATAAAAAAACTAAGCCGGGCTCTGTGGCTCAGCCTGTAATCCCGCGCCTTTGGGAGGCTGAGGTGAGTGGATTGCCTGAGCCCACGGGTTCGAGACCTGCCCGGGCAGCGAGACCTCATCTCCACAATAAATCAAAAAATCAGCCGGGTATGGTAGCACATACCTGTAATTCCGGCTACTTGGAAGGCTGAGGCGGAAGGATCACCGGAGCCCAGCAGGTCGAGGCTGCGGTGGCCAGGAGCAGCCACTGCACTCCAGTCTGGGTGACAGAGTGAGACTCCAACTCAATAAATAAATAAATAATAAAAAACTAGCCAGGTATGGTGACACTCGTCTATAGTTCTGGCTACTTGGAAGACGGAGGCAAAAGGATCGCCGGAGCTCAGTAGGTTGACATTGGGGTGGCCATGAGCGTGCCACTGAACTCCAGCCTGGGCGATGGAGTGAGACTCCAACTCAAAAAAATACATAAATAAATAAAAATAAAACAAAGATTAATATGCAGATAAATGTTGTTCTACTTTAAATATAATGTGTAATAAATATGTAACAAGTCTAAACACCTTCTTATATTATTAAAAAAATCAGTAGCCTGGGCTTGGTGGCTCAGCCTATAATCCCAGCACTTTGGGAGGCCGAGGGGAGTGGATTGCCTTAGCCCGATGGTTAGAAACAAGTCTGGGCAACTTGGCAAGACTTTGTCTCTACAATAAAATAATAGCCGGGTGTGGTAGTTCCCACTACTCGGAAGGCTGAGGCAGAAGGATCACTGGAGCCCAGAAGGTCGATGCTGGGGTGACCGTGAGCATGTGTGCCACTGCACCCCAGCCTGGGCGAAGGAGTGAGACTCTAACTCCAAAAAAATAAAATAAAATAAACAAAAAATAAAATCAGTAAATCTGATAAGTTGATATGTTAACAATAAATGCTCACTTTTTTTTTGAGAAAGGAGGATTTATTGAGAGGACAGAAAAGCTCCCACAGTGGGAGGGCACCCAAAGGGGTTGCCCCCACATTTTTTTAAATCCTACTAGTTATAGGAAGGCGATATAATGTTTGCAGTTTGACTTTTAGCAAATTGTTTTGCAGGGCAAAACCATCTAATCACAACTAAACTATAGTATTTTTTCTTTAGTAAGAGAAAATTTAATCTTTAAAAATACCTGTAATTTTTTAAGATCTTTCAGGCAGATGTCACTCATATATTCTAAGTCATAGGATTTCCATCTAAAATGTAAACAGAGAATTATATTTTTAAAACAGGTACCCTGCTTTTGCAAATTTATTTTTTTAAAAGCAAAGGCATTTAAAAGGACAAGTAACGTGAGTAGATTGCCTGAGTCCGCGGGTTTGTGACCCGCCTGGGCAACTTGGTGAGACCTCATTTCTACAAAAAATAAAAAATTAGCTGGGTGTGGTAGCGCGTGCCTATAGTTCCGGCTGCTTGGAAGGCTGAGGTGGAAGGATTGCGGGAGCCCAGCAGGTCGAGGCTGTGGTGGCCGTGAGTGTGCCACTGCACTCCAGTCTGGGTGACAGAGTGAGACTCCAACTCAAAAAAAAAGGACAAGTAACAAGAGAGGGATCAGAGTAACTATTATTTTCTTATAAGTTCCAACAGAAATCCTTGTCATGATTATACTTATAAGAGCTACATGGCCTACTAAAAATAGAAAGTAAACAGTTAGTAATAATTTAGCCTGGAGTACTGGTGATGGAAATGGATGCCCAATTTCCTTCCCCAGTTTGAAAACCCACTTCCTTACTCTAATATTCCTATCCTTCAGATTCCTTACATCAGCTACCACAATTTCTATCCTAGATGTTGACAAAGTAAACTGTAACTGACTTAAAATTGAACTTTTACTATAAAATCATCCCCACTGTGGTAATCTAATGCAGAATATTGCTAATATTTCAGATTTTACTTTATACATGAAAAAGTTATTTTCAAATAAAAATGCTCCCAGTAGGATGCTCACTCAGCAATATTAATATCCATTTCCCACCTCTCTTGTGACCTGCAACAGGACCATCTGGCTTTCCCAGAGATACAGATCCCATTATCCAAAACTAGTAAATACTACTTGCTTACTCAAAAATCTCAGCCAGGTATGGTGGTTCATATATGTAATCCCAACACTCTGAGTGTTTGAGGTAGGAGGATCACTTGAGTCCTGGAGTTCCAGCAGTGAGGTATCATTGTGCCACTGCACTCCACCATGGATGACTAAGCAAGACCCTGTCTCCAAAAAAATTTTTTTTTTTTTTTTTTTTT